CAGTCTTAATTAATGCAAGGCCATTGGTTTCCATCTCAACAGACCTGAAATTGTTATGTCAGCAATGCTCTTGACTCAGAAGGCTTGTGCAACATTAGCACCACATGGTGAGTTCACTTTAAAAGATCTTTACATGTGTCAGTGGAAGCAGGTTCAGAACCTTGCTGATACATTCTGGAAATGCTGGAAGAAAGAGTATCTGTCAACCCCCCCCCAAAAAAATAGAAAGTGGAAAGGGGAGAAACTAAAAAAAGAGGAGAAAACCAAAGTTCATGTAGGAGACCTTGTTTTGTTGAAAGACTCTCCAGCAAAGAGCAATGTATGGCCAATGTGTCTTATTATGAAAGCTACAGACAAAAGATATAAAAAAAATCCTTCCGAATTTCTATTATGAAAGCTATTCCCAGTGGTGATGGTAAAGTTCGCAAAGTAGAGGTTAAAATCATAAATTAGGAGATTGCTAAAGTATACCTCTGACCTGTCACAGATTTAGTGGTCCTTTTCAAGAAAAAAGAGTTACCTAGTTAAACATTACAGTAATTGAAAGATATATAATAGTGGTATATGTTTATACCAGGCGGAGAGCGTTCTGTATGTCATCATTGTGTTGAGTAGGCAGCATCTATTAATAAAATAGGGAGTGCAGCGCTACAAAAAGTGATAAACAGGTTGAACCTATCTTCAGCATGCGCAGTAGCGTCCGCGGCGGCCATTTTAAAGAAGCCCAACAGACATTGTTCCATGTAATGTGAATGCATGGACATGCAAGTGCTGGCTCTGCAGCAATCTTAATGGGAATAAGATTCTGCAATCTTAAAAACACACATGCTGTATTTCCTGCCCCGTGTGTTTTACACGATACGCGTTAGGGAAGTGCCAAGCTATGTTTATCCTATGTACATGTACCTCCGGGTCTGGCCGTTTATGAGCAGCTGAACCTTTGTTAGTAAGTCCTTTTTTTGATTGCTTATTGACCTAATAAACGATATCACACTATTTGAGGCCTTTTTCCACGGGCTCTTTATTTCTGGGGAGCCTGAATCCAGAAGGTCCTGGTGCTGTGCCTAGCAAGAACACATCTGCAAGTGACATCCCTGGATCCGTGATACAGCTTCCCCTGGAACCGATGACATCTAGTGGTCACCCTATAGATGACACCCTCCTGATCCATTAATACAGTGGCTGGATACACCCGGACAGATGACATCTAGTGGTCACCCTATAGATGACACCGCCTTGTTCCAGTGATACAGTGGCTGAGTACCAGGGACAGGTCTTAAATGTCCCATGCGCTTTAACATGCGCTATCTGGTTAGTGCATTACTTGGCTATTTTCTGATATTCACTATTTCTGGCTCCTCACTTGTTGGAGACTGTATGCTTATTCAGCACATCTGATGAACTTACGCAGTCATTTTACTGATCCACAATCATATGTGATCTATTATTGTGTAACTATTGTTTAATTAGCGCTGCACTTTTATGCTTTATTATTTACTCTGGAGGTTCACGAGGTGCCTTTTGTGCCAGCAGCTACCATATCTACATCCTACTATGCGCTTGATTTTATATATATATTTTTATATATAAGTTTATTTTACCTGGGTGGATACTGCCTGGTAATGCAATCCTCTGATGGTCACTCAGTGGCGTGTGATAAGGATACCAGTCTGGTCATAACGTACTTACTCTTCAAGTCTGCACAGATGCCTGGAATGCTGGGGCTGAGTTGTGGAGGCTCAGTGCCAGGTATAGAGAATAAAGGTGCTCATAGTGTAGTATTGATTAAAAGGTTTATTAAATCGAATTAAGCAGAATATACACACATGACACATGACAATGACTGTGGGTAGTGGTAGAAAGCTGCTTGTAGATAATGATAAAAGCACCTAAAAAGCACTGACCAGTAGAAATCAAAGGGTGGCCGCCGGACCTCCTGATCCGACGGCGTGACGTCAAGGCGTGCAAGGGCTCCTCCTCACTATATATATGAGCAATGTGACGTCCGGCCTGCACGGCATCACTCGTACAGCAGACGTGTGTTTTACACAAAACGCGTCCCTGATGAAGTCACGATGCACGTGACGCAACGCGTCGGAACGCTTTTCCCAGCCAAGAGACACATCACTGGGGACGGATGTCCGAGCACAGCGGCCATATTGGTTTCCCTATTTACATGTGAATGCACCCAGGGAATGAGGAGGATTGCATTTTTCATTAAGAAAATGCATGTGAGTGGAAACAGTATGTTATATGGAGTGTCTTAAATAAACGGTATTACACTATGGGAAGCTCTGTTTGTGTCCTATATGACGTTTGAGAGGAGGTGGAGTGGAGGTCCTGTGATTCCTTACTGAGCTGCTTGGAAGCAAAGGATTACCTGGAGGAGAGTTATAGCCTTGTGGCCCTTTGCGGGTCGAGTTGGGGAGGTGAGCAGGCATTGCTGGCATTGGAGGATTTCTTCTGTTTTGAGCACTAGAAGTGAAGAACACTGAGTGTCTTTTTCACCTTATTGCATGGACTGTTTTTGTTCATTTGTGGACACATTTTCATATTTAAACATCACAAGATTTAGTGGATCATTTATTTAATAGTTTAATGTTTGGTTTTTTCACAATTAATATTAATCACGTTTATTTGATTGAGAATCACAATTTATGAATTTTTATTTATACTCTGTTAGGTTGTCACATATATCATTGGAATTATCACTTATATATATATATTTCTTTTTTGGATATTAATTAACACAGATTTTATTTTTGTATCACTGTTTATTCGCATTATTATGGATTTTCTATTTTTTATCACTGATTGATTTGAAGAAACATTTAAGGGCAAGGAAAGATTTTTTCTCTATTTTTTCTCTATTTTTTCTATATTTTTTTATTGATTTATTTATTATTTTATACCACAGATTTATTTTATTTATGAGGTATGTTTTTCGTCTAATGTTATATGCACTGTGTGTGTATATAGGGATTCACTTTAGCGCTTCACTATTTTTGTGTTTGATACTTTAAATACTTATTGGTTAAGGCAGAGTGATAGCAGCTATTAGGATAGGGACTTATCCATATTAAGCGCAGGAGGATATTCCCATTCTTTAAAGAACAGGAAGTGTCTCTTTGTTAAAATAAAGATTTCCCATCCACCATTGCAACCATTCAGCTTCTAGAAGAACAGTGAAGGTCTTCTCTATTCTCCCTTTGATACACATATGCCTGTAAGTTCTTTAATTGTGTTTGTTAAAATCACATGCATACATAGATCGCATTTCAATGTATTCAATGTGATTTGTAGGTAGCTGTTTGCAAAAAATGTATTCATTGTATGCATTTGTAAAAAGACATGTACAAGCATATTGTAACTTCAGTTTATGTGATTGTATTGTACTTTTACAGAACTATTCACAGAAGTAAATTCAGTTTAGGAATGAAACACAACGCTGCTAGCTGTCAGCTAACTGTTAGTAGGACAGCATAATGCTTGTGCAGAAATATTACTTAGGCAACAATAATAGCTGGCTGTGTTTATGCCCCCTGGTCACTGGCTCTAGGGTCACGCAGAAAGTATGTTGGTTGGACTTTTTTTTTTTTATGAGGATAGCTGTCCCTGGATGATTGATAGCAATACCAACAGAAGAGATCTGACAAGAATGGAAAAAGTCTTTGGGGATATTTACCAAAGGCAGACTGTGTACTTTGCAAGTGCACTTGAACTCTTCAAGTGCAGTTGCTCCAGAACTTAGTAAACGAGCAGAGGCTGTGCTAACTTCCATCACATAATCATGTGCAAACAAATTTTCCTTGCATGTGACTGGGTATTCTTTGCAAAATAAAGCTTCATCTCATTTACTAACAACTGTGCTTGCAAAGTGCACAGTCTATTTGCCATTAGCAAATCCACCCCAGTAAGACCTAGGTGTCAAAGGCATTTGTCCAGTATGGTTTGATTAGGGGCAGCTCCACCAAATGTGTCATGTTAATACCTTGGCTTTCTCACTGCTGACAGATGTAGGCATTCTGTGGAAGCATTTTATGTAAGATTTGTGGTCAACTATACCAATAGAAAAGTATCTTGACGTTTCTCTCTTATGATAGCTAGCTATTCTAAGTTTGTATATAAGTGTGAAGATTTCCCATTTGTGCAATGTAGTGAGAGTGATTAGTTTAAAATCTGAATCGGTAAAAAAATTGTACAGTGTAGAAATGAGGGTGAGTAGATCTCAAATCTTGGAGGCATAGATTTTCTAAAGGATCCAGAGTCAGATGTAAGTGATATTAGTAAGTGACTTCTGTTGCCAGGGAGATTGCAGAGAGTTTAGCAGAGAAGCAAAAGAGCAGTCCACGCCTGGTAAAAACTCCAGGTTTCCTAGCAGTGGGTCATAGAATCCATGCAAAAAGAGAGATTGTTTTTTAAGGAGGGAGTCCCAGACCTTAAAGTGGTTCCACGGCCAAAACATTTTTTTACTTTAATGCATTCCTTGCATTAAGGTAAAAAATGTCCCAGTAGCAGTATTGCCCCCTCAGAATGAGAGAACCACCTTGCGTCTGTCATATTACTATATGGCGGGCGGGAGGTGGTTAAAAAAAATGCATTTTCCTAGTTTTTGTTATAGAATTTTGCACATAAAAAATATGTCTTCATAAATTTAGGCCAGGTATATTCTGCTACCTTTTTTTTGGTATAAAAACAAAAAACAACCCAAATCAAAGTGTAATAATTAGTCTTTGTTAAAGTTTTAAAGTCTGCAAACTATGGTAAATACAGGTAAAACTCGAAAAATTAGAATATTGTGCAAAAGTTTTTATTTCAGTAATGCAACTTAAAAGGTGAAACTAATATATGAGATAAACTCATTACATGCAAAGCAAGATAGTTCAAGCCGTGATTTGTCATAATTGTGATGATTATGGCTTACGGCTCATGAAAACCCCAAATCCACAGTCCCACTCTAATCAGATAATTAAGCCATAACACCTGCAAAGGGTTCCTGAGCCTTTAAATGGTCTCTCAGTCTGGTTCAGTAGGAATCACAATCATGGGAAAGACTGCTTGAAGTCCAGAACAGACAAGAACCGTGCTGCCAATCAGTGCCACCTATCAGTGCCAGTCAGTGCCGCCTATCAGTGCACATCAGTGCCAGTCAGTGCCGCCTAACAGTGCCAGTCAGTGCCGCCTAACAGTGCCATATATCAGTGTCATGTATCAGTGCTGCCTTTCAGTGCCCATCAGTGATGCCTGTCAATGCCCATCAGTGCAACCTATCAGTGTCCATCAGTGCAGCCTATCAGTGCCCATCACTGCAGCCTCATTAGTGCACATCAGTGAAGGAGAAAAATCACTTATTTACAAAACTGTATAACAAAAACTAGAGAAAAAACATTTTTTTTTTCAAAATTTTCAGTGGTTTTTGGTTTGTTTAAGAAAAAATAAAAATCCCAGGAGGTGATTAAATACCACCAAAAAGAAAGCACTATCTGTCTCAAACAAATTATAAAAATTTCATATGGGTATAGTGTTGCATGACCACGCAATTGTCATTCGAATTGTGACAGCGCTGAAAGCTGGAAATTGGCCTGGGCAGGAAGGGGGTATAAGTGCCCTGTTGGCTAGTGGTTAAGATTAGAGATGAGCGAATCGAAGTAGGCGAAGTGGAATTCGAGTGCGCTGACCCATAATGCATTCCTTAATGACATGTGATCGCATTAGCCAATCAGCAGCCAGGCAGCCAGCACTGTGTAATGGTCGAGCTATAAATAGCGGCCATTTTAGAATTCTTCATTTGCCTCCAGTCATTCAAGAGAGGCAGACCGCTCTGTATTAGGGACAGAGTTAGGGCCACAGAAACGTTACTTGGGGACAGAGAAACGTTACTTAGGGACAGAGAAGCATTACTCAGGGACACAGAATTGTTAATGAGGGCCACAGAATCGTTACTTAGGGCCAAAGAAACGCTAGTTAGGGCCACAGAATTGTTACTCAGGGACAGACAGAATTGTTACTGAGTGCCAGAGAATTGTTACTTAGGGCCACAGAAACGTTAGTTACTAGGGCACACAGAATTGTTACTGAGGGCCACAGAACTGTTACTTAGGGCCACAGAAACGTTACTTAGGGCCACAGAATTGTTACTCAGGGACAGACACAGAATTGTTTAGGGCCACAGAATTGTTACTTAGGGCCACAGAATTGTTACTGAGGGACACAGAATTGTTACTGAGGGCCACAGAAACGTTACTTAGGGCCACAGAAACGTTACTCAGGGACACACAGAATTGTTACTGAGGGCCACAGAATTGTTACTTAGGGCCACAGAATTGTTACTTAGGGCCACAGAATTGTTACTCAGGGACACAGAATTGTTACTGAGGGCCACAGAGGTTACTTAGGGCCACAGAATTGTTACTTAGGGCCACAGAATTGTTACTTAGGGCCACAGAATTGTTACTTAGGGCCACAGAACACTTAGGGCCACAGAATTGTTACTCAGGACACAGAATTGTTACTGAGGGCCACAGAATTGTTACTGAGGGCCACAGAACCGTTACTTAGGGCCACAGAATTGTTACTCAGGGACACAGAAATTGTTACTGAGGGCCACAGAACCGTTACTTAGGGCCACAGAATTGTTACTCAGGGACACAGAATTGTTACTGAGGGCCACAGAACCGTTACTTAGGGCCACAGAATTGTTACTCAGGGACAGACACAGAATTGTTACTGAGGGACACAGAATTGTTACTGAGGGCCACAGAATTGTTACTCAGGGACACAGAATTGTTACTGAGGGCCACAGAACCGTTACTTAGGGCCACAGAAAAGTTACTCAGGGAATTGTTACAGGGACACAGAATTGTTACTGAGGGCCACAGAACCGTTACTTAGGGCCACAGAATTGTTACTCAGGGACAGACACAGAATTGTTACTGAGGGACACAGAATTGTTACTGAGGGCCACAGAACCGTTACTTAGGGCCACAGAAACGAATTGTTACTCAGGGACACAGAATTGTTACTGAGGGCCACAGAACCGTTACTTAGGGCCACACAGAACGTTAATCAGGGACACAGAATTGTTACTGAGGGCCACAGAACCGTTACTTAGGGCCACAGAATTGTTACTCAGGGACACAGAATTGTTTCTTGAGGGACACAGAATTGTTACTGAGGGCCACAGAACCGTTACTTAGGGCCACAGAAACGTTAATCAGGGACACAGAATTGTTACTGAGGGCCACAGAACCGTTACTTAGGGCCACAGTAAACGTTAATCAGGGACAGACACAGAATTGTTACTGAGGGACACAGAATTGTTACTGAGGGCCACAGAACTTACTTAGGGACACAGAATTGTTACTGAGGGCCACAGAACCGTTACTTAGGGCCACAGAATTGTTACTCAGGGACACAGAATTGTTACTGAGGGCCACAGAACCGTTACTTAGGGCCACAGAATTGTTACTTAGGGACACAGAATTGTTACTGAGGGCCACAGAACTGTTACTTAGGGCCACAGAATTGTACTCAGGGGAATTGTTACTGACAGAATTGTTACTCGGGCCACAGAACACAGAATTGTTTGTTACTGAGGGCCACAGAACTGTTACTTAGGGCCACAGAATGTTACTTAGGGCAGACACAGAATTGTTACTCAGGGACACAGAATTGTTACTGAGGGCCACAGAACCGTTACTTAGGGCACAGAATTGTTACTGAGGGACACAGAATTGTTACTGAGGGCCACAGAACTGTTACTTAGGGCCACAGAATTGTTACTCAGGGACACAGAAATTGTTACTGAGGGCCACAGAATTGTTACTGAGGGCCACAGAACTGTTACTTAGGGCCACAGAATTGTTACTCAGGACAGGGACACAGAATTGTTACTGAGGGCCACAGAACTGTTACTTAGGGCCACAGAATTGTTACTCGGGGCAGACACAGAATTGTTACTCAGGGACACAGAATTGTTACTGAGGGCCACAGAACCGTTACTTAGGGCCACATAATTGTTACTCAGGGACAGACACAGAATTGTTACTGAGGGACACAGAATTGTTACTGAGGGCCACAGAACCGTTACTTAGGGCCACAGAATTGTTACTCAGGGACAGACACAGAATTGTTACTCAGGGACACAGAATTGTTACTCAGGGACACAGAATCGTTGAATTAAAGAGTATGTCAGACAACATGCAGAGGAGTGGCAGAGGAGGCAATGTTTTAGGAGCGAGCAGACGTGGCAGCAGAGGAAGGGGTCGAGGCAGCACTATTCGCAGCCAGAGGCCAGTGCTCCCGGTGTCATCCAGCGGTCGTGTCTCCACCGACAACCCTGCCGTCGTCGATTGGTTGGCTCGGTCGTCTTCCTCTTCCCAGGTCACCTCTGACACCTACAGCCAACGGTCGGTGGGTACGTCAGACACAACCGTTAGTTGGCATGGCCCGGGACCAAGCCCACTGAAATCACGTGTCCTCTACCTGCCCCTGTCCTTTGGTGTTCCCTCACCAAGCGAAGTATCGCATGCTGTGGGCTCAGCCCCACTGTACAGTGAGGAAGAGCTAACAGAGGGCGGTCAGGAACGGGGGGAGACATCCGCCTTTTCAGCAGCCAGGCGAAGAAGTAGTGGCGAGGAGAGTGGCTCGGTAGCCGGTCTAGAGACAGGTCTGTCTCCTGACCCAGACGCAGCCGAGGGGGCTAGTAGTGAGGCGGAGACCCTACTTGATGATGAGGAGGTTGATCGCACTTGGCAGCCTCGTCGTCATCAGGCAATTTCTTCCGCATCATCAGGAGAAGAGGGTGGCAGCTTGGCAGCGAGCAAAACAGTCGGTGGGTTGCCCAGGAGACAGCAGCAGGGTCGCAGCAGTGTCAGTGGAGCCAAACGGCCACGGAGTAGAGCACCAGCTCCACTGCAGCCTACCACCACGGGCCAGTAGTGGTGCCGGTGTGCACGGAGGAAGCAGCAGTCAGCCAGTGAGGAGTATCGGGGGCAAAGTTTCCTACTCGGCGGTGTGGCAATTTTTTGTCAAGCCGCCCGAGGAAGTAAACGTAGCCGTATGTCGACTATGTGGCCAGAAAGTCAAGCGTGGCCAGGGGGCCCATGTTGGGACTACAGCGTTGCGGCAGCATATGCAGCGTCGCCATTTGGTGCCTGGGAAAACCGTGATAAAGATACGGCGGTTCTGCCCGCCCCAGCCCCCGCTCCATCACCCGCTCCGTTACTTGCTCCGTCACCCGACGTCAATCGCCCTCCATCAGCCAGTCAAGGCTCCAACACCTCTGCTGAGGGGAGTTGTCGCTCGTTGGCATCTTCCGCTCGTTCAGATGCTCCTTCTCCTGCTACTCCTCTTCACACGGATTCCGTCAGCAGTCTTTCTTGGAATCCGTTTCCAAGAGACAACAGTTTGCGAGCACGCACACCCCGACGGTGCAAAAGCTGAACGTCCTCCTGTCCAAGTTGCTGGTGCTGCAGTCCCTCCCTTTCCAAGTGGTGGACTCAGCACCTTTCCGAGAAATGATGGCTTGTGCCGCGCCGCGGTGGAGAGTGCCAAGCCGTCATTTCTTCGCCAAAAAGGCAGTGCCAGCCCTCATTCACATGTAGAAGAGATGGTGGGCCAGTCTTTGAGCATGTCGGTCTCTGCCAAAGTGCACGGCAGCGCCGACGTGTGGAGCTGTAACTACGGTCAGGGACAGTACATGTCATTTACGGCCCACTGGTGAACGTGGTGCCGTCACAGCCGCACCAGCAACTTGGACAGGTCACGCCGCTTTTGCCTCCACGTTTGCACGTCCTTGGTCCACAAAAGATGTCCGCCTCTACCACCTCTTCTTCCGCCGTGTCCTCAGCCGCCACCCCCCCCGTGCCAAGTCCCATTACCCGACCGGCATATCACATGTGCAGGGCGCAACGGTGTCACGCTGTGCTGCACCTGGTATGCCTTGGCGAACGTAGTCACACAGGGGAGGAACTTCTCAGTGTAATGAACAGAGAAATCGACAGATGGCTGTCTCCGCGCAAACTCAAAATCGGAACCATGTTGACCGACAACGGAAAGAACATGGTGTCTGCTCTGCGTCAAGGAAGGTTGTGCCATGCGCCATGCATGGCTCACGTGTTCAATCTGGTTGTCAAGCGCGGTCCTAAAATCCACCATCCCACTGCAAGACATCCTTAAAATGTCACGTAAACTTTGCATGCATTTCAGCCATTCCTACACCGCAAAGCACACCCTCCTTGAGCTGCAGCGGCAGAACGGAATTCCACAGCATCGCCTGATCTGCGACGTTGCAACAAGGTGGAATTCAACCCTACACATGTTAGACCGCCTTTACGAACAGCGAAAGGCCATCACCGATTTCCTGATGTTACAAGCGGATAAAGGTACTCCCCTGTGTAACTTTGATGTCAGCCATTGGCAGCTCAT